TTTTTTTTTTTTTTTTTGCGGAATCAGGGATTTAACTCAGGTCCTTGTGCTTGCCAGGCAAGCACTTATTCTACTGAGCCATCTCCTCGGCCTCTTCTTCCTTTCTTTATCACTCTTTTTAATAACTTGTGGGACACAACCTCTTCTCCCATAAGGCATATCTGGAATACATTTTGAAAATTTGAAGGTATTGTACATTTTTTTGTCAGTGATGAGCCTCTTTAGAGACTAAATGTTTTTATGTTTTATGTTTTATGCATATTTCTACCCCAAATCTAAAATTTCCTAGTAGTCCATATACAAGTGAGTGACTCTGGAGAATTTGTACTAAGAAGCTTCATTGAGGGTTTTCATTTCACTTAATATAGATACTGATCATATTATTTAAATCTCAAACCAGAATATATTAGATGCACATTTGCCTAAGGGTTGGTTATGCAGGTTTAATGGTATGCAGTCTTATAGTCAAGCGGGATCTTTTTTTTTTTTCAAGTGGGATCTTAATATAAAAGTGTTACCCGTTTTTCAAGTCCTACAAATTTGTAAATGGTTATGACAGAAGTTACTAATCTTTTTCATATGATACGTAATTGAAATTTGAAAACATAAAAGTGTAGGTATTTGGAGTGGTAGGGTAGCTCAAAGGGGAAGGGAAGGGAGGGAAAGAGAAAGGGGGGGAGGGGAGGGGAGGATAGGTTTATGCACTAAGGGAATTGAGTGTGTAATGACATTAAGTGCCCAGATGCTGTGTTCTAAATATATTTTTAATTTAATTTCACAATCCTATTATGCCTGTATTAACACATTTCACTCTGGTAGAAAATTACAAGAATTATAGTAAGTCGTGTATCCAGAGTTCGATTCATTGTCTTTTTTTCTTCAGAGGCTCAAGGACATTTTTTTCACTGATGGAACCACTCTGTTTATGAAGTGAGAACAAAATGATAGGTTAACATTAGGAAGTATATTATGATGTAAATGAAAAAGATTAAGGTTTATGGGAGGCTCAGAAGTTCTGCATATCATGGACACATTTGCTTTATAGGCTGTTTATATCATTCCTATTTTTTCTTTTACTTTGTATGGTTTTTAAATTTTAAAAACTTATCTATTTTCAACTTCTTATATATTAGGGTCTTAAAGTTAATTTTGCTCTTAATCACATTTTTTTCTTCTCCTTTCCTTAAACTTTCCTGTCATCACAATGCATATGTTTGGTTTTTAGGATTTTTTTTTTGTTTTATAGCACCAGGGATCAAACTCAGGACCTTGTCCTTGTCAGGCAAGCACGCATTCCACTGAGCTATCTCTCCGGCCCTGGTTGTCAATTTTGTTTTTAAATGCAGTGACTTTTTTTTCCGAAGGGTTGTTGCACTTCCCTAACTCTTAAGATGTTTTTCCTCAGAGGAAAAAATGGTACTAAGTGTGTATATGTCTTTAGAAAACAACCTCAAGTATTGAAGTATTTAATAATACTATCCCAAATAAGTTGAGAGTTTGTATATGTACTCTTCCCATCCAACCCTCTGCTGGAAATAAAGCCAGGGTGTTAGCATTTAATGTTACTGAGCTTTATAGTAAAGAAATTTTTGTTTATCTGAGTTGTATTTGTACCCTGCCTCAGCCACATTTGAAATGTAGCCTTTTCAACATATCATTGAACTAGTGTTTCTTGAAATATACTTTAGAAAGTTATATCAAACTATCTACTGCATTACACTTGTTTTAATTTTCTAACCAAAAAATACTGTTTCTAGTATAATTGTTTCAGAGTTATAATAGTTTGTGATTTTTTTGTTGTTCAAAAGTAGTCAAGACTTAAGATGGCATTCAGATATCATCCTACTATATTTAAAAATTGTTATAACATTATGTATAATTATTTTCTTGGTCTTAAATTACATGTTTTTATATAGATTAAATTAATACTATAAATAACATTACTTTGTTTTTAAATAGTCTTAGAGTTTTTAATGAAAATGTTAACTTAGAATTTTTAATTTGGTAATATTTTTGTTTGTTGGTCAATAGAAGATGGTTTACTGTTTGAGTTTGCTGGTTTTGACAGTGAACTAAGCTGAAAATATATCTACCCTAAATTATTGGCACCTCAGTTCGCCTCCCAAGTAGATTGATAGGTTGGTTTTCCTTAAAACTTCTGGTTAATGAAACGAAAATATATAGGTAATTTATTGGACATAGGGAATTTCAAACAATAACATTTTTAAATGTCTTTGTATAGCTGATCCAGTTAATTAGCTTTTGATGTAGGATGTATAAAATGTCAAGTTAAAAAACCTTCAAAAACACGTAGGTCCAAGATTACACCTACATTTGACTTGAATCCTGTTCATGCCACCTTAGCAGTGAAAACATTGAGTACATTATTTAATAATTATTCATATATTTATCCAGTAAAACCTGTGTAAGTACAAGGCATAAGGACGAGATGCAGAAAAGATACAGTGCTTATCTTTTTTAGAATTCACTGATAGTAACATCTAGTACAACTTCCTTGACAGTGGTATCTTGTTGACACCAAGCTGATACTTGGAGGAACAATATATGCTCAGTAAGATTTAGAATTAATGCTAATTAATCATAGGACTACTCAATGTCTTACAGTACTTTAAGCTGTCTGATATGAGTCATTCAGGAATGAAATTAGATTCTAATAAAGTTAGGAACTGTTGTGGTACCAGAGATACTTACAGGCTTTTCAGTTTTGGGAGTCTAGAGCCATTGACTTACATGTTTATTGTTGTCTTAGTTTCTATAAGCAGAACAATTTGCCAGGCCCTACCAAAATGACTTGTCATATTAGCCTAATGAAAATACTTGCTATCTGTTTAAAGAAGAAATGTTCAAATTGAAGCAGAGATACTATTAGAAGAGGGGTTTGTAAACTTTTCTCTAAAGAGGTACATATTTCGGGGCTGGCCAGATAGCTCAGCAGATTAAAGTGCCTGCTTAGGCAGATGTGAGGACCAGGATTCGATACCCAGCATGCTATGCTGACCCCACTCCCAGGGCTCACTGAGACAGCAATTAGACTGGGTGTGGTGGCGTGCACCTGTAATCCCAGTGCTTGGGAGACTGAAAACAGGAGGATCACTACAAGTCTGATCTATATAGTGAGGCCCTATAGACCATGTACTAAAACCAAAAATAAATAATAAAGAGGTACATACTTCAAATTATATGGACCGTCCTATCTTTGTTGCAGCTATTTAACTCTACTGTTGTAACAGCAGCTACAGGTAATATTTATATAAATGGAGTAACTTAATAAACTTTATTATGGAAAATGAAGTTTGGACTTAAAATTTTCACATAACAGAAGTTCACAAAATGTTCTTCTTGATTTGAAAGTTTTAAAAATTCAGTCACTTCCTGCCCCTTCCCCCTGGGGCACGCTGAGATGGGGATTGAGACTGGGTGTGATGGCGCACGCCTGTAATCCCAACTCTTGGGAAGCTATAAACAAGCAGATCATTATGAGTCCAATCTAGTAGTGAGACCCTGAATACCCTGTAGACCCTTCCCTAAAAATAAAGTAAAATAAAATAGAAAAGAAAAAAAAAAGAAAAATTCAGTCACTTGAAAGTATAAAAATTATGCTTAAATTATAAACTGTTGTTGTCCTATAAGCCATATTCAGTCTATGCTGAATTCTACCCCACCCCCACCCCCACCCCCCGGAACTGGGGATTGAACACAGACTCTTGCGCTTGCCAGGGAAGTGTTTATTCCACTGAGCCATCTCCCTGGCCCACTGAATTCTGATTTAGGATGTAATCTTAGAATTTACTATAATTGTGTTGGGTAATAATTGCCTTGCTTTTAGGTAAATGGTCCTTTTTAGTAGGGATTGAATGTCAGGCCTCCTACTTTTATGCAGCTTTCTTTTATAAGTATGTGCAAGTACTAGACAACTAGTAGGTGATTTTTCCCCCCTTCCTTTCTGGGTAAGACTTTGATAGGCACCTTACAAGTTTTAATTACTTTCAAATTTTTGCTCCACCGTCAAAGTTCTCTAACTGTGTATTTCAGGTAACACATACAAGGTCTTCTATACTTGAAAGTTAAAAAATTTATGGAATAGAAGTTTTATCTTTTAGGGGCCAGGGAGATGGCTCAGTAGGTTAAGTGCTTCCCTGGCAAGCACAAGGGCCTGAGTTCAATCCCTGGTTCTGGGAAAAAAAAAAAAAAAAAAAGTTTTATCTTTTAAATAAATTGTCAAGAACATTTGTATCCCACAAGTACAAGTGAAGGTTTTATTTGGCCTTGCAAATAGAAGTGATTTCTATATTGACAGAAATAATTTTATATGCTAAAACTATAATTTAAAATATGTCAACTTATTTTTTGTAGACACCAGAGAAGAAACAATCAGAATCATCCAGGGGAAGAAAGAGAAAAGCAGAAAACCAGAACGAAAGTAGTCAGGGTAAGCAAAGCACTATCTTCCTTCTAAGCCCAGTTGGCATTTATAATTAATTATTCTAATTTTTAACCCATTAATATTCTAGCTGTTAAATACTTTCTGTGTGAATTGCATGACTTTTATAGCTTCTGTAGTTGCAATAGATTGAGTATACTTTGCATAAGAAATAATGAAACTGCAATCTTTCTGTAGCATTATCTTTTTACCTTTCATTATGATACTGAAATGGCTTCTTATTTCTAAATAAAAGCTTTAAATCTTATTTTAAAACAAGTGCCAGCCAGGCACCTATACAAGTGCAGTGGGGCATACCTGTAATCCCAGCTGCATAGGAGGCTAAGGTCAGAAGATCATATATAATCCCAGTATTTAGGAGATTGAGGCAGGTGGCTTGTCTTGAGTACAAGGCCAGCCTGGGCAACATAGTGAGCTCAAGGTCAGCCTAAACTACATAGGGAAACCTTATCTTAAAACAAGCAAACAAAAGAACTACAAGTACCCACACTTACTCTTCATATGTATGTATGTACATATGTATGTATATATGTATATATTTACACTGCACATGAAAGTAAGCTGAGTTGGTGTTGGTGGTGGTACACACCCATAATCCCAGCTTTCTGGAGACTGAGGAAGGAGGATCACCATGAGTTCCAAGTTAGCCTGAGCTACATAACAGGACTCTGTTTCAAACAAAACTGCAGTGACTAAAGACTTCAATTTCAGCATCTTTTTCTCTTCATACCTGTTTTTCATTATTTCTTTCATACTGATCTTTTGTGGTAGGAACTAAGAAAATTATTTCACTAGGCTACAGAATTCTTGTAAGGGAGAGTAAAAACTATTATCACCTAACTTGGGCCTTCAAACTTGAGTAGAAATTAAAACCTTAAATCATGCATAATAATGATTTTAAATATAACATTACACGTTTTGTAGCCAATATCCATAAGGTCTAACATGGTTAATCAATTTATATGTGACTCTGGAATCAAGGAATATATTTGCAGCAACTGTATCTGTTAAAGGGGTTAAGGGCCTCTTTTCTGTGTTCTAAACATTGTACCTTACTTTACAATGAGCTGTTTTTACCTTGGCATATTTTCCTCAGGTTGTGGTTAGTGGACTTGTAACTTTACTTGTTATAAATATACATTAATTACAATTACTTCAATAGCAGCTTTTTAAAAACTCAAAAGCATGCTTCCAAATAGAATGGTACTTCTGTGTTGATTGAGGCAATGTATCTATCTTTTAAAACTCATAGAGTTTTTTCTTCATCTGTGATCTGCCATCCACAGAACTGATTTTTCTTCAGGTTTTAGGATGGTTACCTAAACTGAATTTGCTTTTTTGTACTTAGGTGCTTTACTTTTTGTCGTTTGTGTTTTGGTTTTGCTCAGTTGGTCTATCAGTCTTTTCCTTTCCCCTTCCCTTTTGCCTGCCTGCCTGCCTTCCTTTATTCTTCCTTTCTTCCTTCTTTTCTTCCTTCCTTTTTCTTTTCTTCCTTACTTGGATGACATCTGCTTTACTTAGGCTGATCTTGAACTTCTGACCCTCTGTCCTAAGCTGCCTCCTCCTGTGTACTGGGATTATAAGTGTGCACCCCTACACCTGGCATTTGATCTTGGTTACCTGCCTTGTTCCTTCTTTGGAGTGAAAGTCTTCAAAAACAGAGCAAAGCTCCCCTGTCATCTGACTGATTAGATTACTTGTTTACCGTTCCAAAACCTCTAACTGTCCAACAAAAGGAGTATTGCTAGGAAAATCAAGCCCACTTTAGAAATTGAAAATGAACTGGAGTGTTCCCTTTAAAATTATGTGTTGTGTAGGAAAGAGGTGATATCTGGACTTACATAGGAGCTCATGAAATTATTTGTGCTATGTAGGCAGAGGTATATAATGGGATAAAATTAGGGTCCCATTGTGGGGAAAAGAATTTGGGAAAAAGTTTCTAGGAAGGCAAACAAAAACACCTATGTTTTCCTTAATAGATAGTACCTTTGGGCCAGCTAGAAAGCCCAGCGTACTAAAGCACCTACTTAGGCAGGCACAGAGACCAGGGTTCAATTCCTTGGCCTTTGGTGCCAGCCTCGCCCCCGGGGCTCACTGAGATGGGGAATGAGACTGGATGTGATGGCGTGTTCTTGTAATCCCAGCAGTTGGAGGCTGAAAACGGAGGATCACTACAAGCCCGATCTGTGCATTGAGACCCTGTGGACCAAAAAAACTGGTGTGGAAGGAGAAAAAATGAGTCCAAAAGCAGAATCAAACAAACAACAAAAAATAGTACCTTTTCAGGCGCTTCAGGGTAGTTATTATAGACAGGAAGTTCATTTTGTATAAAACCCCATTTTATATCTAGACTATAAATTTATACAAACCTGTTCAGAATTTCTAATAGCATTTATAATCTAAGTATTTGGGTTTTTTAAAAAAATTCTTTGTCTTATTTCAAGGAAAAAAATGTAAATTTGTTAAATTTTAAAATATATTGTTCATCTTCATAATGCTTGGCACATAGTAACCGCTTAAGAATTATTTGTTGACTAAAATAAATGAATACGTGAATATAAGTCAGTATTGAATTAGTAGATATATAGATATATATATATATATGTAGATATATATATATGTTTATCTTACACAAAGCCTTTTGCTCTATAATACTAGCTTTTTTCTCTGTGGTGACTTGAAGAGTCCTATTTTATGTACTATAGTTCCAAGAAAAGATGGATGCATAACCCCCCATAAAACTTTTTTAAACACTATTTTTCTTAAGAAATTCTTAATTTAGTGTTATAGTCAGTGATAAACACTCTATTTGAGAACAAAACATTTAAAGATGAGTGTGATTGATAATAACCTAGTTTACTTCATCATTATGATCATAAAAGTAAACCATAAAATCCAGTTTATTGAAACATATGAATTTGGAACTGCTTTTCAGCAATTCAAATACATTTTTAAAAATAACATTGATAGTAAAGTGTGCTGTCTGTTTGATAGGGATTAAATTTTTGTTAATGTTAATTAAATTTTTTAAATTTTTATTTACCAAGCATGAATTAAATTGTCATTGATGCAGTTGCCACTTGTCTTTTCTTTTTGGTGAATAGACAATAAGCCATATTAATGTTTTCAAAACAGGCATCCCTGTGCAAGGGATGTGTCTCAGTGGTAGAACATGTCCTTAGCTTGGGCAGGGTCCTGGGTTCTACCCCCAGTATGTTAAAGCAACAGCAGAGTCCAGAAGATCCTCTAAGGTCATTGATTATCAGATTTTTACAGTAATGGGACTTTTTAAATTGTCAAGTTTTTATTGAAATGTCATTTGATTTTTTAATCTGCTATTCTAAGAACTTTAAGTTTTTGATCCTCTTCACTACATAACTAAAATACCATGCTTTTTATGTACATTAAGAAAAGTAACACTTTTTTTTGGTAGATAATGATGACTGAATTTAAATCCATAAAAATTATTTACTTTTATATTTTAGGAAAAAGTATTGGGGGACGTGGCCACAAAATTAGCGACTATTTTGAAGTAAGTTCATTGAGGATTATTTCCAGTTCTAATTCAGTATAATTCTGTGAGCTGAAAATAACTTGAACCATAAGATCAACTCTTAGCAGAGCTTTAGTACAATGTGATACTCTGTCTTCTTAAGCACAGTAAAATTTACTTTTAAGCCAGGAATGGTGGCACATGCCCATAATCTTAGCAAAGGCAGAAGAATTGCCATGAGACTGAGACCATCGTGGGCCAGTGAGTTCAAAGTCAGACATATATAGCAAGATACTGTCTCAAAAGAACAATAGCAAAATACTTTTACATTGGCATGACATCATAATTTTGAAAATACTTTCTTAAATACTTATAACAACACATAGGATAGGCAAAGTAGATATTAGTGTTTTTGTTTTACATGTGGGGAAAGTGAGAACCAGGACTACAGAGCACCCTATTTAAAGGCAAATTCTAAATGGAAGAAGAATAGAACTAATGTCAACATTGGCTCTTATGGATAGAAATTAAATAATTGATAGAGACATGAATCTTAGAGTTCTCTGAAAACAGTAAATATGTAGATTCTTAGACACAATTTAGAATGTTTGCTTCTACATAGAAACACTTTGGGCTACCAATTTTACATTAGAAAACAACATGATTATTAAAACAAATACAGTATTCAGTTGAAGAAAAATTACATTTATTTGACAATGAGATAACTGGCTGAGTAGGAAATTGGCTGAATATGAAAATAAAATTTTAATTTTCTATTGCTTTGAGTTTATAAATTCTCAGCAAAATATTTTGCTGACCATAAATTTACCTAATACCATTTAGTTGAAGTCAGTCACTCAGTGTTAATATCAAGAACCTTTGCTTAACGTAGGATCATTTCAGTTAAACAGATGTCTCTTGGATGCCCACTGTATGCTGGGCATTATGCTAGACCTACACTATGGATAAAATAAATGAGATAAAATTCTTAGGTTACTGTAAGTTGATTAGTGATCACACTAAGAATCTTCATTTCTGTATTCATGTCACAGTTAAATGAGTAAACAAAAAACCAGACAGTAAACTATATTCCTAGAAGAAGCTAGTATCAGCAGATTGTGTTGTTTTGCTGTCCTATCCAGAAGCATGGAATAGAGAAAAAAAAAATAGCTTTGGACCAAGTTAGCGGACTTTTCATCATACAAGAAAGAACTGAAAAGGTTTTTTGTGTTATTAAAAGGAAAGGACTTGTCCTATGTAATTTTTCTATGTAATGGCATGAATATTTGGATATTTTCAGAGTTTAAGAATAGTGATTCTTAAAGTAGTTGGTTATATTGACTAAAATATTCATGTAAACATCTTAAAATTTTATGGGATTAAGAACTGTACTGGGGCTGGAGAGATGGCTCAGTGGTCTAAAGCACCTACTTGAAACAAGCTTGGCAAAGCACAGGGACCGCGGTTCGATCCCCAGCACCAC